AGATCTTTCCAGCATATCCCATCACCTGTGAAATACAAAGTTGATGGAAAGCTTGTCTCAGAGGTTAAGCATTGCATGTCTAACTACAACAGGCTTTAGAAATAGTCTCATCTGTTTTTTTATTCCCAATTTTTTATTTCAGGATTGTGGAATTGCATCTCTCCCGCTTTGGGCTTTTGTCCGTAACTTAAAACTTTAAAAACAGGGAAATGTTGTTTTGAGCTACGGAAAAGGCTGGAGAGAAGTACCTTCTGCTCCAAACACCAAAAGGAGCCCATGGAAGTATTTTGCAATTAAACAAGGAAGGCAAACTGGGAATCTATTTCTGCAATGCTTACCCAGTGGGTGCTTTCTGGTGTCTGGTGGAGTCCTCTCATTATCGGAGAAATCATTGCTCATCTCTGCAAAACAGAACTTTCCCCTGAAACGGCAATAAAAATTCAAAACATGGAATGGGGAGAAAAATTAGAAAAGGCATTACAAGAAGCAGAAACCTTAAGGGTTACTGTATATCCTTGGAAGCTTGCAAAAAATGTTGCAATTAGTAGCGAATTTTGAGGTACCCTCAATCAACATTTGAAGTTCTTGCTGCTTTCTAGATTGGAGCACTCACCTGCCAGTTTTCCTGCTTTTTCTCCTCTGCCTGGCTCAGGAGGAAAGCTTCCACCAGGGCCACCGCCTGGGAGCTGGTCTCCGCTCCACATTCCCTCACCCAGCTCTCCATCTCTGATGGAAGGACAGTCAGGAACTGCTCCAGGATGACCAGGTCCAGGATCTCCTTCTTTGTGTGTTGGTTTGGCTTTAGCCACTGATGGCAAAGATGGTGGAGTTGGCTGCAAACCTCCCGAGGGCCTTTGGCCTCCTGGTAAAGGAAATGCCTGAAACACTGGGGGCTGAACGTACGAGATGAGGGTGTCCTTAGTCCTTGTGTTCTCCCAGAATCCTCTACTGCTTCCAGTCTCGCTGGCATCCCGGCCACTTCCTGCTTCAAGTCCTCTGGAATCTTCCTCCTCCATCGGTTCTCCCAGGAAGTCTCCAAGAGGTTCACAGGAACTCCTTTCCTCTTCTGCCAATTTCTGTCTGTCCTAATGAGAGGTGCTAGCAAGTCCTAGAAGGCCAAGACATTGTTCTTCTGTAAAATTGCTTCATTTTCAGAATAGGAAGAATGTTCCCTGAGCAAAGGTGGATGGGTCTCAATAGTTAAAAATAGGTAAAGAACCCCTGGAGGGTTAAGGTCCAGTATACCTGAAGGAGCGTCTCCACCTCCATCGTTCTACCCGGACACTGAGGTCCAGCGCCGAGGGCCTTCTGGCGGTTCCCTCACTGTGAGAAGTGAGGTTACAGGGAACCAGGCAGAGGGCCTTCTCAGTAGTGGCACACGCCCTGTTGGAACGCCCTCCCAGCAGATGTCAAAGAGAACAACAACTACCAGACTTTTAGAAGACATCTGAAGGCAGCCCTGTTTAGGGAAGCTTTTAATGTTTGATGCATTACTGTATTTTAAATATTTTGTTGGAAGCCGCCCAGAGTGGGGCGGTATTAATAATAATAATAATAATTATTTCCAAGTCAAATTCGACTATGGGGTTGTGGTGCTCATCTCCACTTTCAGGCTGAGGGAGCTGGCGTTTAAACATAAGACAGCTTTCTTGGGTCATGTGGCCAGCATGACTAAACGCTTCTGGCACAACGGGACACCGTGACGGAAACCAGAGCACACGGAAACGCCGCTAACCTTCCCGCCAGAGCGTACCTATTTATCTACTTGCACTGCTGTGCTTTGAACTGCTATGTTGGCAGGAGCTGGGACAGAGCAACGGGAACTCACCCCGTCACGAGGATTTGAGCTGCCCCAAGAGGCTCAGCGGTTTAGACCACAGTGCCACCCGCATCCCTAGCCAGGGCCTGATTATACTGATGCAGTAGCCCTCCTGGAAAGAAAGTATGAAGCAAATTATAACAAGCCGCCTTCTAAGCCAGCAGTTCTCAAACTATGGGCCATGGACCACTACTGAGCCCCATTTGAGACTTGCAGCCTCTTCCTCAGCCTGTGAGACGATCTCACTTGAGAACTGAAACAGAACTGAGAGAGCCAGTGTGGTGTAGTGGTTAAGAGCGGTAGATTCATAATCTGGTGAACCGGGTTTGATTCCCCGCTCCTCCACATGCAGCTGCTGGGTGACCTTGGGCTAGTCACACTTCTCTGAAGTCTCTCAGCCTCACTCACCTCACAGAGTGTTTGTTGTGGGGGAGGAAGGGAAAGGAGATTGTTAGCCGCTTTGAGACTCCTTAAAGGGAGTGAAAGGCGGGATATCAAATCCAAATCCAAACTCTTCTTCCTCCCTGCCTCTCTGTGTATTGAAATTATGAAGGAAGCCGCAGCTGCATTTGGAAACTAGCTAATACTTAGTAATCCTTTGGGGTCCTAAAGAGCTGCAGTCTCCTCCTCCTCCTCCTCCTCTCATTTAGTGCACATTTCATCCTAGAAACAAGAATGCCAATTTTCCTGCTGGCCTGAGATCAGGAAGAAGCTGCTTTCTGCAAGCACCTTTATGGGAGTAATTTGTGGGTGGGTGCTAAATAACTCCTTACCCCTGATACCTCTTGGAACTCAGCCTATGCTAAGAATGAAGGACCAGGTGTGCAGCCTGGGAGTCATTTTGGACTCACAGCTGTCCATGGAGGCGCAGGTAAGTTCTGCATCCAGGGCAGCTGTCTACCAGCTCCACCTGGTACGGCAGGCTGAGACCCTACTGCCCGCAGACTGTCTCACCAGAGTGGTGCATGCTCTAGTTATCTCCCGCTGGACTACTGCAATGCGCCCTACGTGGGGCTACCTTTGAAGCTGACCTGGAAACTACAACTAATCCAGAATGCGGCTGCTAGACTGGTGACTGGGGGCGGCCGCCGGGACCACATAACACCAGTCTTGAAAGACCTACACTGGTTCCCAGTACGTTACCAAGCACAATTCAAAGTGTTGGTGCTGACCTTTAGAGCCCTTAACGGCCTCAAAGGCCCAGTATACCTGAAGGAGCGTCTCCACCCCCATCGTTCTGCCCGGACACTGAGATCCAGCGCCGAGGGTCTTCTGGCGGTTCCTTCATTGCGAGAAGCAAAGCTACAGGGAACCAGGCAGAGGGCCTTCTCCTTCTCGGTAGTGGCGCCCGCCCTGTGGAACGCCCTCCCATCAGATGTCAAAGAGATAAACAACTGCCTGACATTTAGAAGACAACATCTGAAGGCAGCCCTGTTCAGGGAAGTTTTTAATGTGTGAAATTTTAATGTATTTTTAATCTTTGTTGGAAACCGCCCAGAGTGGCTGGGGAAATCCAGTCAGATGGGCGGGGTACAAATAAATTATTATTATTATTATTATTATTATTATTATTATTATTATTATTATTATTATTATTATTATTATTAAAGGTTCGTTGCCATGCAGACAATCCTATTTCCCAGATCCTGGAAGCAGAAACAAAGGAACCGTCTGTCTTGGATCTGGTCCTCACCAACAGGGAGCAATAATTGAGAATGCATTCTGCTTAGGTCAGCTAAATGTTTCGGACCTGCTTTGCAGCCTCTCCCAAAATTTGGCTTTGCAGGGCGGGAATCTGCGCTCCCTGATTTGAGGGCTTGGGGGTCCCCTGGATGGATCAGCTGCACCCTCCCCCCAAATGCACAAAATAGAGTGGGGGTCGACTTACCAAATCCCAGATGACCTCCCACCTTCAAGTCCAGAACCAGGCAGGAAGGACTATGGCGTGGGGGCATGTCTTGCCCTGGAGGACTCCGCTCCCTTCCCTTCTCTCCGAGTTCCTTCCTCTCTAGGAAGCCAGTTCAGTTCTCCTTAACCCTTAGAAAGCCACGCAGCTGACGTTGTTTACTAGACCCAATAGGGGGCGCTGTTGATTTTTTTCCTAGGATTGTTTTGTTATTTTGAGAGTTTCGGGGAAGTTTTTCCCCCCTTCCCAAAGTAGTTTGGCGGTTTAGGGGCTGGGTGACCTTTTTTTCAGCACAGGCACGGTGACCACCTGCCAGACTCTTCTTTAGATGCAGCAAACGCCAGCAAAGTTACTGCGCCCTTTGAAGCAACGCTACATCCTTATATGAACTTCCAATACATTTCACTTTTTTAAAATTTCATGTGATTGTTTTGAGAATTGTGCTGGAGCACAGATCTACACCAGTCTTGCTTTCAGATGACAAATGTGTCCTTGCGCTCAAAAAATATATTCTTCCAACTGTTCACTTTCCAGTGAAAAATACCGTTTGAAAGATTATTAGATCTAGAGGTAGTCAAATTTTGGTCTCTTTGGCATCAGTGGGATAAGTTAATCTGGACTTCGTCTCTCTGTATGAATAAACACTGTGAACAACATAATTTTCACCATATATACTTTTCTGTATATACTTTTCATTCCTTTATTCATCTGACAACCCTTCTGCCCCAAAACTTGAGTATACGTATAACTGAGGGTAGCATTTCACACCTCTGTTGAATATAGGCCACAAAAGCTTCTGCCAGAATAAACTGGTTGGTCTTTTAAGGCACCACAGGATTGTTTTTAAGTCCCATGGATTTAAATGGAGCTACAGCATGTCAAAAATACTTTGGGCAAAAATTGTGGAGAGAGAAAAAGTAAAGTCTGGGAAAATCCGAATGTACGGCAACCCATGGCAGCAGTGTTGTTGAGGGTTGTTTTCCTTAAAAATAGCTCAAAAACTTTGGCCAAAAAGAAAAAAAAGAGCTCAACAATTTTTGTGTCCGGATTTTCACTTTTTGAAATATGACCGCCCTATTTTATATTGTTTGCTAGCTTCCCCCAGTTGCTAGTGCAGCCCATTAAATGAGGAGCCCCTCATGTGAACAGCATACAGAGTTGTGGCTCATCTGTTTCGTTGAAGGCTACACTTCCCCAGAGCCCAGAAACATGTTTGCTCTCAGTAGCTTCCCTTGCCTTCCCTGACCTGGTTGTTGTGTTGAGAGAGATAGGAACTGTGATGTGTCCCAAGAACGACTCTTTGTGAAGTTTGAGGAGAGGGCTTCTGTGCCCAGTCCTGCAGTGGACATGCTTGGCTCAGTGGGGCAGAGATCAGGCAAAGGTTGTGATGCCGTCCAGGCTGGGAGTCCCAGGGAATTCTGGGAGAGAACAGTGCAGAAGATCCCAGGTAGGAAGGACACACTCGCCTCAGACTCTCAGCGCCAGCGGTTCAGGCGCTTCCGTTACCAGGAGGCCAAAGGACCCCGAGAGGTTTGCAGCCGACTCCACCACCTTTGCCGTCAGTGGCTGAAGCCAGAGACACACACCAAGACTCAGATCCTGGACCTGGTGATCCTGGAGCAGTTCCTGGCTGTCCTCCCCCCGGAGATGGAGAGCTGGGTGAGGGAATGTGGAGCAGAGACCAGTTCCCAGGCGGTGGCCCTGGCCGAAGGTTTCCTCCTGAGCCGGGCAGAGGACAGGAAGCAGGGAGGGCTGCAGGTGAGAGAGACAGTTTTCATCCTGGTTGTTTTTCAAGAGGCACAGAAAGTGTTCAAAACACATTGCATTTTCTGGAAGGGAAAGCCAAGTCTTCACACTGTGATTAGGGGAAAATTGTGCTCAAGACTCTTTTGATACCGGTTTCATAATTTTTGACCTTATGATACGATAATCTTTATTGTCATTGTCCCATACAGAACAACGAAATTGAAAAAATCTACATCAGACATTCAAAAACCAACAAGCCTACTATCCCAGCCTGGTTAACCCCCTAAAAACTCTGATACCCCATAATTAAATACAATATACTCCCACAGAGACTACCTTAAAAAAGGTAAAGGGACCCCTGACCATTAGGTCCAGTCACGGCCGACTCTGGGGTTGCGGCGCTCATCTCGCTTTACGAGCCGGCATACAGCTTCCGGGTCATGTGGTCAGCATGACTAAGCCGCTTCTGGCGAACCAGAGCAGCGCACGGAAACGCCGTTTACCTTCCCGCCAGAGCGGTACCCATTTATCTACTTGCACTTTGATGTGCTTTCGAACTGCTAGCTTGGCAGGAGCAGGGACTGAGCAACGGGAGCTCACCCCGTCGTGGGGATTCGAACCGCTGACCTTCTGATTGGCAAGCCCTAGGCTCTGTGGTATAACCCACAGTGCCACCCAGAGACTACCTTACACCACGTTTAAAACCAAAATTGCATTTGGATAGAAACTGTTTCTCAGGCAGCTACTCCTGGTCTTTATAACCCTGTACCTTCTTCCAGAAGGCAGAAGCTGAAAGAGATCATTTCTGGGGTGCGCACTATCCTGCACTATCTCTGCAGCTTTCTTATGACACCTGGCCACCTTATCCCGAATCATGGGGTGTGGGTGTGTGCAAAAATCACAATTCGGGGGAAACCGTGAAGCTAGACAATGCCTCTACCTAGTTCCATCCTCATTTCAGACGTGCTATATCAGAATATTGTGATGTTTCGCTGGTGATATATTGCAATGTTGAAAACCAGATGTCACCCAGCCCTAGTGGTTAGAGCATTGGGACCAGGGTTCAAATCCCCCCTCGCCCATGAAGCTCACTGGGTGACGTTGGGCCAGTCATTGCCTCTCAGTCTAACCTACCTCAAAGGGTTGTTGTGGGAATTAAATGGGGGTGGAGGCGAGCCATGCACGCCATCTTGAGCTCCTTGAAGAAAGAGATGCAATAAATACACAGTAACAACAATAACAGCAACACAGATATTTACAACAATAATATGGTACAGCTTTAAAGTAGTACCATAATTTCTAGCAATGCAATAAGGTACATGGCCACACATCATTCTGTTATTCTATATGCCAACAATACTGGAGTTAACAAAATATATTGTTGCTCTTACAGCTTGAAATCCTGTGAAAGGCACCTCCTCCTCTCTGTGAAAAGCTCCTCACTGGCTGGGTTTATGGTTCTGTTGCAGGGGTGAGAAACCTTTGGCCCTCTAGATCATGGGTGGGCAAACTAAGGCACCGGGGCCGGATCCGGCCCAATCGCCTTCTCAATCTGGCCCGCAGATGGTCCAGGAATCAGCGTGTTTTTACATGAGTAGAATGTGTCCCTTTATTTAAAATGCATCTCTGGGTTATTTGTGGGGCATAGGAATTCGTTCACCCCCCCAAATATGGGCTGGTCCCCCGCAAGGTCTGAGGGATAGTGGACTGGCCCCCTGCTGAAAAAGTTTGCTGACCCCTGCTCTAGATGTTGCTGAATTACATCTCCCATCAGCCCCAGCGAGGGTGGCTAACGGCCAGGTAAGATGAGATTCATTCAGCAATGTCCTGCAACTGCTCTTAACTCATCTCCCTCTTCTTTGTCTGGGATCTGGGCTCCGGTTTCAGGTTCAAGGGACCATCCCGGAGGTGGGCAATGAATCCCCTGAATCCAGGGAGAATCTGCCGGTAACCTTGCAGACGGCGCTATCTGGGGAAATTTTGCCGGATAATCAAACTCGGGACACGTCACTGGGTAAGGAAGGATTTTGAAAATCTGTTGCCGTACTTTGCCTTATCTCATTATGTGTTGTACATCCCTCACAGAGAGATATAGCTCAGTTGGTATTATTATTATTTTATTACCGTATTTTTCGCTCCATAGGGCGAACCGGACCATAGGGCACACCTAGTTTTTAGGGGCGGAAATAAAGGGGGAAAAATTACCCCCCCCTCCTGGTCCAGGAGCGGCGGCAAGATATTGCGCAACCTCACCGCCGCTCCCGGAGCTTGCAGGGCTGGGGGCTGGGGGCGGGGAAGCCCGAGCTTCCCCCAACCCCAGCCCCCAGAACAGGCAGCTATCCGCAAGCCTTCCGAGCGCAGCGGGAACTCCCGCCGCACTCAGAAGGCTTGCGGATGGCTGCCTGAAGCCTGGTGAGCGAGAGGGGCCGGTGCGCATCGACCCCTCTCACTCTCCAGGCTTCATGAAAGCCTGCATTCGCTCCATAGGACGCACACACATTTCCCCTTCATTTTTGGAGGGGGGAAAGTGTGTCCTATAGAGCGAAAAATACGGTAGTTAAATTTGAGTATCGCCCTAGATCTTTGGGTGGTAGAGCATGAGTAAGATCTCAAGAGACATCTGTTCGAGTCCCACATTGGACAAGAAATGGTTGCCTTCTAACTTTACAGTTGTATGTTAAGCATTCTTTACTTTTAGGTTACAATTCCCAATTCTGCAGGGGAAGGGCCTTCTGTTAAATAAATCCTCTTTATCACACCCCCTTTATCATTTTGGTTGCCCTTTTCTGAACCGCTATCAGGAAATGTTTCATTATACACCTTTAGGTGCCAGGAAAAAACGTTTCTTTTCAACTGGGCCTGGTTGATCTGATTTACGTCCTATGCCCTTTTAAAATGTTTTTTTTTGGGGGGGGTTGTTGTTTTATTTTCATTAGGCATTTTGTGGTTTTATATCTTGATTTTGTTCTGTGAACTGCATTGAGACCCCTGGGTATGTTGTTGTTGTTGTTGTTTAGTCGTTTAGTCGTGTCCGACTCTTCGTGACCCCATGGACCAGAGCACGCCAGGCACCTCTGTCCTCAACTACTTCCCGCAGTTTGGTCAAACTCATGCTGGTAACCTCGAAAACACTATCCAACCATCTCGTCCTCTGTCGCCCCCTTCTCCTTGTGCCATCCATCTTTCCCAGCATCAGTGTCTTCTCCAGGGAGTCTTCTCTTCTCATGAGGTGGCCAAAGTACTGGAGCCTCAGCTTCACGATCTGTCCTTCCAGTGAGCACTCAGGGCTGATTTCCTTAAGAATGGATGCGTTTGATCTTCTTGCAGTCCATTGGGACTCTCAAGAGTCTTCTCCAGCACCATAATTCAAAAGCATCAATTCTTCGGCGATCAGCCTTCTTTATGGTCCAGCTCTCACTTCCATACATCACTACTGGGAAAACCATGGCTTTAACTATACGGACCTTTGTTGGCAAGGTGACGTCTCTACTTCTCAAGATGCTGTCTAGGCCTGTCATTGCCCTTCTCCCAAGAAGCAGGCGTCTTTTAATTTCGTGGCTGCTGTCACCATCTGCAGTGATCATGGAGCCCAAGAAAGTAAAATCTCTCACTGCCTCCATTTCTTCCCCTTCTATTTGCCAGGAGGTGATGGGACCAGTGGCCATGATCTTCGTTTTTTTGATGTTGAGCTTCAGACCATATTTTGCGCTCTCCTCTTTCACCCTCATTAAAAGGTTCTTTAATTCCTCCTCACTTTCTGCCATCAAGGTTGTGTCATCTGCATATCTGAGGTTGTTGATATTTCTTCCAGCAATCTTAATTCCAGTTTGGGATTCATCCAGCCCAGCCTTTCGCATGATGTATTCTGCATATAAATTAAATAAGCAGGGAGACAAAATACAGCCTTGTCGTACTCCTTTCCCTATTTTGAACCAATCAGTTGTTCCATATCCAATTCTAACTGTAGCTTCTTGTCCCACATAGGGGTATAGGGCAGTATATAAATTCAAATAATAATAATAATAATAATAATGATAATGATGTTGCCCTCAACTGAAAAAGAGGTTTTCCACACTGACTTTAAATGCTGGGTTTTCATTCCAACCCCCCCCCCCCAACACTCTTGTTTCCCCCAACAGGAAATGGAATAACATTGCGGAAGCTCCCTATGACATCACCTTTTCACAGCGGAGCAGAAACAGACCCTGAGCAACCGACTGAGGTAGGAAAAGGAGATCATTGGCAGCTATGTGGTGGGGCTTAGAGCAACCAATCTGTTCCTCTTCTGAGGGAACTCTGGAAATTGTAGGCGTGTGAAGAAAAGTGGGAGTCTCTTAACAATGCTAAGCAGTCTTAGCAGACTACTATTCCAGGAATGTTTTGGGGGAAGCTGTGGTGTAGATGAGGCCTGACTGGCCGTAGCCTTCCAGGGTTTAAATAATAATAATAATAATAATAATAATAATAATAATAATAATTTATTATTTGTACCCCGCCCATCTGGCTGGGTTTCCCCAGCCACTCTGAGCGGCTTCCATAGAAACCAAAAATACAGTAAAATATCACAGATTAAAAACTTCCCTGAACAGGGCTGCCTTAAGATGTCTTCTGAATGTCAGGTAGTTATTTATCGCTTTGACATCTGATGGGAGGGCGTTCCACAGGGAGGGTGCCACCACCAAGAAGGCCCTCTGCCTGGTTCCCTGTAACCTCAATTCTTGCAGGGAGGGAACTGCCAGAAGGCCCTCGGCGCTGGACCTCAGCATCCGGGCAGAACAATGGGGGTGGAGACGCTCCTTCAGGTATACTGGACTGAGGCCGTTTAGGGCTTTAAAGGTCAACACCAGCACTTTGAATTGTGCTCGGAAACGTACTGGGAGCCAATGTAGGTCTTTCAAGACCGGTGTTATGTGGTCTCGGCGGCCGCCCCCAGTCACTAGTCTAGCTGCCGCATTCTGGATTACCGGTAGTTGTAGTTTCCGAGTCACCTTCAAAGGTAGCCCCACGTAGAGCGCATTGCAGTAGTCCAAGCGGGAGATAACCAGAGCATGCACCACTCTGGCAAGATAGTCCGCGGGCAGGTAGGGTCTCAGCCTGCGTACCAGGTGGAGTTGGTAGACCAGTGTTTCCCAACCGGTGTTCCGCGGCACACGAGTGTGCCGTGAGACGTTGCCTCGTGTGCCGCGAGATGCCTGGAGGGAGGCGGGCGAGTCGGGCGGTGAGAGGCGGGGCGGCGGCGGCGAGGAGAGGCCGCGCCTCCTGCTGCTGCCTGGCGCTCCTCCTCGCAGCCGGCAGCGCTGCCTGGGCGCCTCCGCGCGACTCTGCCTCGCTGGGTTTGGTCTCCCAGCAGAGACGGGTCACACGCGCCCCTCCCTCCCTCCCTCAGCCTGCGCAGAGGGAGAGCCAGAGAGAGGCATTGCTCCTGCGCGGCGGGAGAGGGAGCAGCCGGAGCGATGCCCCAAACGAACGCATGGGACCGGAGGGGAAATCCTCTCCGAGGCGGATTGAGCGCAGCTGAGAGAAGCCTTTCGAGGAGCTGCCGTGTCCCCTGGAAACCCCCTTCCCAGCTCTGCCTCAGCCGCCGCCGCCTCAGTTGCCGCCGTCCCTCAGTCCCTCGCTCTGCTGCCTCCTCCCACCCCCAAAGCTTGGAGGTTCCCCAGCAAGGGGGAGGGAAAAAAGTTTCACTTTTGTGCGTCCCTCCCAGCGTGACGCTGCGCGCTGACGTCACGGGGCGGGGCTTTAATGGTGGTGTGCCGCGAGATTTTTTTTCAGTAAACTGGTGTGCCGTTGCCCAAAAACGTTTGGGAAACACTGTGGTAGACAGCTGCCCCGGATACAGAATTGACCTGTGCCTCCATGGACAGCTGTGAGTCCAAAATGACTCCCAGGCTGCGCACCTGGTCCTTCAGGGGCACAGTTACCCTATTCAGGACCAGGGAGTCCTCCACACCAGCCCGCCCCTGTCCCCCAAAACAGTATTCTGTCTTGTCAGGATTCAATTCATTAGCCGCCATCCATCTCCCCCAACCCCGCCTGGAGATTCTGGGGTTCGAACCTGGAAGCTTCCGCACGCCACGCAGAAACTCTACCATTGAGCTATGGAGGAGGATTTACACATCCCTTAGGTAAAGGTAAAGGGACCCCTGACCATTAGGTCCAGTTGTGGCCGACTCTGGGGTTGCAGCGCTCATCTCACTTTATTGGCCGAGGGCGCCGGTGTACAGCTTCCACGTCATGTGGCCAGCATGACTAAGCCGCTTCTGGCGAAACAGAGCAGCGCACGGAAACGCCGTTTACCTTCCCGCCGGAGTGGTACCTATTTATCTACTTGCACTTTGACGTGCTTTCGAACTGCTAGGTTGGCAGGAGCAGGGACAGAGCAACGGGAGCTCACCCCGTCAACGCGGATTTGAACCGCCGACCTTCTGATCATCAAGTCCTAGGCTCTGTGGTTTAACCCACAGCACCACCCGCGTTCCTACACATCCCTTAGTTCTCAGTTAATGTGAGATGTTTTCTTCCTCTTCCTCTAGGTTCTAGTGTCCTTTGAGGAGGTGGCTGTGTATTTCACCAACGAGGAGTGGGCTTTGCTGGATTCGAGCCAGAAAGCCCTGCATAGGGAAGTCATGCTGGAGAATTCCCGGAGCGTGGCCTCACTCGGTAAGGACCCTTCTTTCGTTTTACGAACCTGAGTAGAGCCTGGCTGGTGGACCCAGCCAACTCCGAGGGACTTCTGGTGGTTCCCTCACTGCAAGATGTGAAGCTACAGGGTACCAGGCAGAGGGCCTTCTTGGTAGTGGTGCCCGCCCTGTGGAACGCCCTCCCATCAGATGTCAAAGAGATGAAGAACTACATAACTTTTAGAAGACATCTGAAGGCAGCCCTGTATCAGTGTGCTGGGCCCAGGGGTAACCCGTGAAGCGCGGTCCAGAACCAGTCCAGAATCCGAAGGTTCCACTAGGAGTCAGTCAGACAGGGCCAAGGCAGGACACGAGGCAGGAAACCAGGCAAGGACAGGTACCGGATATCAGGCAGGATCTGGCATACAGCAATGTTGCTCCCATAACCTGGGGCGGGGGCTGACAGCCTTTTATCTTTGTCGGGGTAACGGCCGGTCCTGATCCTCCAGCGACTCACCTCCCTGTTTTGCCTGAAGGCAAGCACTCCTCCTGCAAGTACTCAGGTCTCTCCTTCTCTCAGACCTCAGTCTCTGCAGCTCGGGACACGTCGGTGGGTTACTAGACCCAGAAGCCGCCTCAGCCTCCCCTGACCCAACTGGTAGTGGAGCAGATGTAAGTGATGGCCCAGCTGAAGGCAACGAGGTAATCCCCGCAGCTGGAGCCAGGGCAGGCTCAGGCCCCTGACTCGGCCCAGCTGGTGTTTGTTGCAGGGGAACAGACTGGGCAGACTGGGAATCTTCAGGATCAAGCCCCAGACTTGGTTCAGATGATGCCTGAGGCAACGGATCTGGTGTAGACTGAGACTCCTCTGGTTCTGAGTCCGAGTCCGAGTCCCAGGCTATCACAATCAGGAAGTTTTTAATGTTTTATGTTTTGCTGTGTTTTTATATATGCTGTAATCTGCCCAGAGTGTCTGGGGAAACCCAGTCCGATGGGCTGCATAGAAATTATTATTATTATTATTATTATTATTATTTGTCTACTCCAGCATCCTGTTGTCACAGGTGCCAAACAGATGTCCCAAATAGTAAGCCCACAACAACTCTCTCCCTACTTGTGATTCCCAACAACCGGTATTCAAAAATATTTACTTCCTCTGGAGGTAGAACATAGCCATTGTTGTCAGTAATCATCATGGCGAGTTGCTGTTGATAGCCCATGAATTTGTACAATCCCCTTTTGAAGCCATCCACTTCTGTGGACACCGGTAGCCCCTGGGGAAGTGAGATCCATAGTTTGACTATGTGCTCTGTGAGGAAGTTATTTGAGTTATCTGTCCAGAATCTTCCAACATTGGACTCCCTCGGGAGGTTCTGGACTCTCCTTCCTTGGAGGTTTTTAAGCAGAGGGTGGATGACCACCTGCCATGGATGCTTGAGCTGAGATTCCTGCACTAGATGGCTCTGGGGGTCTCTTCCAACTCTACAATTCCATGAATGATTATCAGAGCTCCAAGCCTTCCCTTAAAAGTAAAGTACAGTGAGGGGGAAAAAGTATTTGACCCCCTGCTAAATTTGCCCGTTTGCCCTCTGACAAAGAAATGACCAGGCCTTAATTTTAATGGTAGGTTTATTGTAGCTGTGAGAGACAGACTAACAACAGGACCATTACAATTATGGACTGGTCATTTCTTCATCAGAGGGCAAACGGGCAAATTTAGCAGGGGATCAAATACTTTCCCCTCTCACTGTAAGATTCCAGTCCTCATGCTTCTAAATCGCGTGTAGGGAACCTTTGGCCCTCTGGCTGTAGCTGAACTACAACTCCCATCAGGCCTAGCAAGCATGACCAATGGCCAGGAGTAATGGGAATTGTAGATCAGCAACATTGGAGGACTTCAGGTTCCCCATCTCTGGTTTAGAGTATTAGATTAGCTTTAATTCAGCAGGGTGTGTGTGTGTGTGTTTGTGTGTGTGTGTCTGTGTGAAGCAGAGCCACTCATGTATTACTTCTCCACAACAACGCACTGGACGCCATCCATAATCTAAAGCTTATTTTCTTTCTGGTGCTGTTAATGGATTTCTCTCTTCCAGATGAAGGGTGGGATAATAAGGATGACGACGAACTCTGTGCAGCACCATCGGAGAGAAACAGGCTTCAAGACATGGATGAGAACTTCAGAGATAAAGAAGGACCAAATAAGCAGGAAGAAAACCAAACCAGGAAGTGGGGGAATAAATCTTTGCCCGGGCAGAACTTTGATGAAATTCCAGTTCAGCAGCAGAGACGAAAAGGAAAGAAAAAGAATGTCTGCTCGCTGTGTGGGAAAGTCTTCAGCCGCAAATCACACTTCAACGTCCACATGAGGATCCACACAGGCCAGAAGCAGCATAAGTGTTTGGACTGCGGAAAGAGCTTCCGGCAGAGAGCGCACCTCACCTCCCACCAAAGAATCCACACGGGAGAGAGGCCTTATAAATGCTTGCAGTGCGGGAAGAGCTTCAGGGAGCGTGCACACTTCACCGTACATCAGAGAATCCACACAGGGGAAAAACCCTACCAGTGTTCGGAGTGCGGAAAGAAGTTCACTAGGAGCACAAACCTCGCTTCCCACCTGAGAAAACACACGGGGGAGAAACCCTATAAATGCCCGGAGTGCGGAAAGAGCTTCAGGCAGCTTGCGTACCTTACTTCACACCAGAGAATCCACACCGGAGAAAAACCGTATCAGTGTTCGGTGTGCGGAAAGAGCTTCAACAGGAACACAAACCTTACCGCCCATCTGAGAAAACACACGGGAGAGAAACCTTATAAGTGCGCCGTATGCAGTAGGAGCTTTTGTGATAAATCAGGCTTCAATATACACCAGTTGATTCATTCAAAGGATAAGCCGCATAAATGTTTGGTGTGTGGCCGAAGCTTTATTCGGCGTTCGCAGCTTACTTCCCATGAAGGAATCCATACGGGGGAGAAGCCGTATAAATGCTTGGTGTGTGGAAAGAGCTTCCACCGGAGCTCCAACCTTACTTCCCATCAGAGAATCCACGTGGGAGAGAAACCGTATAACTGCTCAGAATGTAGCAAGAGCTTTTACGACAGATCGCGCCTCCTTATTCACCAAAGGACTCACACGGGCGAAAAACCGTATAAATGCCCGGAGTGTGGAAAGAACTTCAAGTGGCATGCAAACCTTGCTTCTCATCAAAGGACACACGGAGGAGAAAAGCCCTATAACTGTGTGGAGTGTAGCAAGAGCTTTTATGACCACTCCCACCTTCTTACACACCAAAGAATCCACACGGGAGAGAAGCCTTATCAGTGCTCGGTGTGTGGAAAGAGCTTCAGCCAGAGCTCAAGCCTTACTTCCCACCTGAGAGTCCACACAGAAGAGAAACCCTATCAGTGCACAGAGTGCGGGAAAAACTACACTCAAAGAAGAAACCTGATCAGACATCAGAAAATCCACTCGGGAGAAAAAACATACCAATGCCTGGAATGTGGAAAGAGCTTTTATGATAAGTGTATGCTTAAGAGACACCAAAGAACTCACAGAGGGAGCAGTGAACCCATCATGTCTTGGAGTGTCGAAATGGCTTCCGATGGTGAACCGATTTTACTTCCCCTTGGTGGATTCACACCAGAAAAGCAGTATGTGATTTGAGACTGAGTAACCAATCGAACCTTAGGAGCACTAGATAATTCATATTGGACAGAGGCTTTCCCCTCCCTTCCCTGATAAATACTTGGGGTATTCTGTCACTGTTAGCTGTTCCGCACAATTATTGTTAAACTGTTCCACACAATTATTGTTAAACTTTAATGCAGCTCTTATTATTATTATTATTCATTTCTAAGCCGCTTTATAGTTTTAAGAAAAAAAATCAAAGTGGTTTACCACACATTAAAATATCAAATTATAAAAAACCCCAGAATAAAACATTACTGAAGATATTTATACAGTGGTACCTCGGGTTAAGAACTTAATTCGTTAAGAACTCGGGTTAAGAACTTAATTCGTTCTGGAGGTCCGTTCTTGACTTGACACTGTTCTTAACCTGAGGTACCACTTTAGCTTCTGCCACGCAATTTCTGTTCTCATCCTGAAGCAAAGTTCTTAACCCAAGGTACTATTTCTGGGTTAGCGGAGTCTGTAACCTGGAGCGTCTGTAACCTGAGGTACCACTGTACATTCAAAGCAACATAATTAACAGGAATCTTTAAAAATTCAAAATGGAGCATTACAAAGGAGGTCAACTACAGAATGCACCATAGGACGCACTTTTTCCCTCCTAAATAGCAAGGGGAAATGTGTGTGCGTCCTATGGAGTGAATGCAGGGGGGAGGCAGGCGGGAAAAGCCCCCAAGAGCCGCACACAAGCTCCGTGCGCTCTTGCGGGCTTTTCCACAGGAGGGAGAAGGGACTGACTGGCCGCATCAGTCCCTTCTCCCACCTCCCAGGAAAGCCAGGAGAAGCCGCGATCTCTTTAAAGGGGTTGCGCGGCTTCTGCGGGCTTTTGCGAGAGGTGAGGGAATCCCCCCACCTCCCAGGAAAGCCAGAAGAAGCCGTGCAGCCCTTTTAAAGTGCGCGCAGCTTCTGCTGGTTTTGCGGGAGGTGGGGGAATTCCCCCACTTCCCAGAAAAGCCAGGAGAAGCCGCGATCTCTTTAAAGGGGTTTCGTGGCTTCTGCGGGCTTTTGGGAGGGGTGAGGGAATCCCCCCACCTCCCAGTAAAGCCCTGCGCAGCGTCTCCCGGCAAGGAGAGGCTGCACGGGGCTAAAGGGGAAGCCTAAACAGCGAGCGGGATCCATCCCGCCCCCTGCCTTGGCTTGCTCCATAGCTGCGCGCAACCCCTCCGGGGGTTTTTCTTGAATTCCCCCCCCTAAAAACTGGGTGCGCCCTATGTTCCAGTGCGCCCTATGGTGCGAAAAATTCGGTACATTGAACACAGTAAAGTCTGAGAGCAGGGTCCGTATTTTGTGACTTTGCAGTTGTAACCTCTCATAGCAAGCAGGGTGCTTATCCCTCGCACCCATGGCCCAATAGCAGGAGGATGCAGGTAAGGAGGACCAGGGAAAGAAAGTGCCTTCCAATTGTGGGCTGTGGAAGAAAATTCCCTTTGGAGGTTCATCATGGAGGCTCAAACCAGATTCCCATTTAGTCAGACTTTTATTCAGCAATGCATTACTGGGCAGAGCCCAAAGAATCTGTGAGAGCAAATCCATTAGCATACAGGAAAAAACACATGTGAAAAACACTGTTCCATATTCTCCGCAACAACCTTCTGCCACACCACGATCTCTCATCCAACCCTAGTCCTTGAAAACACAGTTACTCAACCCAAACTTTTTTTTTGCTGTACATGTGGACCCATCCTTGCACCTTATCTGAATCAGCTTTCCATTCCATCAAGTCAATTGGACTGGCTCTTAACAGCTTTGTGGTCAGGCCAGGCCATTATGTGGCTATGCTGGCCTGACAGATAATTGGCTTTGCAGAATTCTACCTCGGTATTACCTCCCCGACTCTATTGCCCTTTCCTACCACGCTCACATTGGGACGCGGGTGGCGCTGTGGTCTAAACCACAGAACCTAGGGCTTGCTGATCAGCAGGTCGGCGGTTCGAATCCCCGCGACAGGGTGAGCTCCCGTTCAGTCCCTGCTCCTGCCCACCTGGCAGTTCGAAAGCACGTCAAAGTGCAAGTAGATAAATAGGTACTGCTCTGGAGGGAAGGTAAACGGCAATTATGTGCGCTGCTCTGGTTCGCCAGAAGCGGGTAAGTCATGCTGGCCACATGACCTGGAAAAACTGTCTGCGGACAAACATCAGCTCCCTTGGCCTATGGAGCGAGATGAGCACCGCAACCCCAGAGTCGTCTGTGACGACCTAATGGTCAGGGGTACCTTCACCTTCACCTTACCACCCTCACAGCCGCCACATCCTCACAGTGAGAGGTGAAGCTCAGCACTACCATGTGACCCATTTTCCAGTTCCACAAGGAGGGTGTGGGACACAGTTATTTAATAGGTTTATGCTTGGGGTAGGGGGGCCACCAACAGAGGAGTCCATATTGTGTAGGCAGAGAAAAAGCAGTCCATCCTCCTCTTTCAGTTTTTCTGCATTAGTTGATCTATGTAGAGTCCTCATGCAGTACATAACAGGGGAATGAAACTTCATGCTTTGCAGGGCTGAGAATTAAGCATAGGGAGAGGAGGTTCTGTGTATGGGCAAAAGTTTCCTGTAATGCCAACAGTGCAATCCTAGCATCTCTGCTCAGAATTCCCATTCAGTTTAGTGGGGCCTCCTCCCAAGTAAGTGGCTATTGGATTGCAGCCCAAAAGGGTTGGGAGGGAGTTGCTTTAGGCAAAGCTACTCACTGCAATTATTACGAAGAGAAACGCGGAACGGATTCTTTTTGTCTTGCGAGGCACCACTGTAAGTGGATTTATCTGTAAGAGATCTGTAAGAGAAGCTGCTGAATTGCAACTCATTACGAAACTTAAAACCATGGAGAAACCTGGTCTGAACAAAGACATTGGATTCTTATCTCATTATACATGACAAAGCCATTTTTCACCTTCTCACCCCTTGCTTTTTCCTGTAAGACCTATTGCAGTCGTTAAGAGTCGTCAACAGGCTCATCACAGCTATCTGCCAATCCCCCATTCCCACCACCCTTCTGAGTAATACCCCTCCCCACCTTCTCACTATATAGAAGGATCTGGCAACTTCTGTTTCAGTGTATCTGAAGAAGTGTGCATGCACACGAAAGCTCATACCAAGAACTAACTTAGTTGGTCTTTAAGGTGCTACTGGAAGGAATTTTTTTTGTTTTGACTATGGCAGACCAACACGGCTACCTATCTGTAACTGGATTTATTCAGCAGTTGTTTCCATCAGGGTAAAGGAAAGATGAGGCTACATGGCTCTCCTGAGAGTCTAATGTTGGTTGCCTGAACTTGCTGTTCACCTTTTCCCTCCCAGTCCACTTTTGTGTTGTGTCTCTTAGATTGTGAGCTGAGGGCAGGATCTGTCTTCTTGATATTTGTGAGTCAATCTTGGGAGCTTACTTTTGGAGCAGGATTAAAATGACAATAACGATTAAGCATGCATATATGTATATATATTGATAAACCTCTCTTTTTAACTTTTTCAAAAAAAAAATGAGGGGACACAATAAAAGTTTTGGAAATCTTTCTGCTGCCCTACTGTGTCTAACACGTTGAGCGTTCTTTTTAGGTTGCATTGCCCATTACTGCTGGGGAAAGACTTTTTGTGAGAGAAATCCAGACGGGAGACAGCGGCCCTTTCCCCACAGAAGTATAAATAGCAAGGGGGGGTGTGGATAAGTGCTAATCTCCCTTTCCTGGGCAAGGTTCTGGTGCGAGTGGTCGCGGAGAAGATTCAGGCTCTTTTGGAAGAAACTGATTTCTTCCAAACATGTCCAAACATGTTCCAAACAGGCTCTTTTGGAAGAAACCCAAACTACAAGAAAGAAGATTCCACCTAAACATTAGGAAGAACTTCCTGACAGTAAGAGCTGTTTGACAGTGGAATTTGCTGCCAAGGAGTGTGGTGGAGTCTCCTTCTTTGGAGGTCTTTAAGCAGAGGCTTGACAACCATATGTCAGGAGTGCTCTGATGGTGTTTCCTGCTTGGCAGGGGGTTGGACTCGATGGCCCTTGTGGTCTCTTCCAACTCTATGATTCTATGATTCTATTCTATGATTCTATGATTTTCTGGATCCATTTCAATTGGGGTTTAGGCCCGGTTTTGACACAGAAACTGCTTTGGTCGCCCTGTACAGTATGTTGATTTCTGTCAAGAGAAAGACAAGGGAAATATGTCCCGGTTGATTCTTCTTGACCTCTCAGCGGCTTTTGATACCATGGTATCCTTCTGGAGTGACTTTCTGAACTAGGGGTGGGGGGCACCACTCATGAGGTCGTCTCCTGGCCTGTAATAATTCAATGGATCAGATTCCATATTTACCGTATTTTTCGTTCTATAGGACGCACATTCCCCCCTCCAAAAATTAAGGGGAAATGTGTGTGCGTCCTATAGAGCGAATGCAGGCTGCGCCGCTAAGCCCAAAGCCAGAACAGGAAGACGGAGCACTGCGGAGCGCTCTGTCTCGCTGCTCTAGCTTGGGGATGGCTGCGCGCAAACCTCTGCAGGGCAGCGGGGTGCCTTCACCCCGCTGCCCTGCAGAAGCTAGCAAGGCTGTTCCCAAGCCAGAACAGCGAGACGGAGGGCTCCATCTCGCTGCTCTAGCTTAGGGACGGCTGCGGCAAACCTCTGTAGGGCAGCGGGGTGCCTTCACCCCGCTGTCCTGCAGAAGCTAGCAAGGCTGTTCCCAAGCCAGAACAGCGAGACGGAGGGCTCCGTCTCGCTGCTCTAGCTTGGGGATTGCTGCGCGCAAACCTCTGCAGGGCAGCGGGGTGCCTTCACCCCGCTGCCCTGCAGAAGCTAGCAAGGCTGTTCCCAAGCCAGAACAGCGAGACGGAGGGCTCCATCTCGCTGCTCTAGCTTGGGGACGGCTGCGCGCAAACCTCTGTAGGGCAGCGGGGCGCTGCGCTCCAAAGGCTTCAGGGATCTTTGAGGCTGGCGGTGGGGGAAAGCAGCGCTTCCCCCCACCGCCAGCCCCACAAGCTCTGGTGAAGGTACCTTGAACGCACCTTGTTTTAGAGGGGGAGAACAAGAAAATTTTTTCCCCCCTGTTCTCCCCCTCCTATGGTCCGGTGCGTCCAATGGAGCGAAAAATACGGTAGGTTCAATGGGCATTTAGCTTTCAGCATCCTATTGGCTCCACGGGCCATTAGAAGCACAAATAGCAGCAGCAGCAGCAGCAGCAGCAATATCCTGGCTATGCCTGCAAGAGGGATACACTCTTGTGACAGCAGTAACATTAGAAGCCCAGCTGGACCGTTGCAGTAGCTTCAGAAGCAAAGGTAGAAAAAGGAAACCTCCCACAGAAATGAGCCCTGTCATCCCCAAATCTCTCAGGTCAGCCTGCAGGGGGACAGTCAGTTAGGTTACCCTAAAAACTGTTTGTGAATCCCCCCCCCAACCAGGCCTCAAAACCTCAAGCACTTTTCAAACTGCACTTTTCATTTTCTCTAAGGCTGAAAAAGCTTTTATCTAAGCATCTTTCTATGCAACAAGGGTAGCTGAATTAAAACAACGCCTTCGCTCTCTGGCTAGCTGACCTTGGCAATAGCACATTTAGCTTATTGCAAACTCTCTTCCGGGAACAGAGCCAGGGAACAAGAGAAACATTTCTATGTAAACCTATGAAGGGGGAGAGGAAAAAAAGGGGGATAAAAACCTGCCTGTAAAATGTTTTCGGCGGCCTGTCTTTTGTGAATTCAATTACACAGGTGCCTCTGCCCCCCCCGAATGGCAGAATAAAGCTCTTTCTCTGGATTTAACCCCCTTGGTGTCGTTTGACTCTTTTGTCTCACCCCAGGCGCAACGCTTTCCTACCCATGGTTAAAGGGCCTAGAAAGGCTACAAGCCTTCCGATATTTATGACCCAGTTCTTCTTGCAGGCTTGTGACAAGAGGTTACCTCATTCTGCCTGTGATCCTGATGTTTATGTTATTTGTGAACTCAAAGGCCATTGTTGGGGAAATCCTTGGACTAAATAAATTAACAAGGTCCACCTCCTCTGCAGCTCCCTGGAATCTGTGTGTGACTCAATGGGCAGCTGCAGAGCCAGAGTAAAGCATGTTTGCGAGAACTCAGAAGATGGTGCTGTCAATCTGGGTCCTGTTAAACTTGAGGAAACATTAACTTCAGTAAAGTCCAGGAAATTATAAAATAGCTATGATGGATCAAGACGAGCAAGGCAGGACATGATAGAGGTTGATAAACTCCCGTACGGTGTAGATAATATGGATAGGAAAATATTTTTCTCCCCTGCAGGTGGTAGTGGAGTTTGGGGCAGATTCTTGAAGATGTGGAACCTTCTGAAGTGATTCTCACTGCTAGCAAATGAGGTTTTCAGCTGTTGAGGTTCTATTGCTCTTTGAACCACAGCCAGCATTTTAAGACAATATATATTTACACCAGTTCTGGTCAGTGAAATGGACATTTTCAGTAACAAGTCCATCAGATGTTGCAGGAGTGAATTGGCCAGTGACGTTACCCTGGATGAATGCAGATGTATCATTGTGACATCAGGGTATGATGTCACAGACAGAATGAGCTTCAAACCCCAGCAAAGTGAGAGACAGTTAACAGTCAGACCCAGGCTTAATGCTTTGGATATTCGTGGCAGATGATGAAAAGGTAAAACATCGGGGCTATGGTATCTTTTACGAAAGGTTACAGTTGTCTAGAGAGCGAAAATACATTAGATGGATGAAACAATAATATAGGGGCACAGCAGAATATGAACTATATACCTGCTGAAGGTCCTGGGTTCAATTTGTGAAATCTGCAAATCATCCTGAAGCCTTTGGGGCAGAGGCAGGACTGGGGAAAAACATGTTTGTAAGAACTCGCTGATAGGCTTGTCAGTCTGTGACTTGCTAGGCCTGAGGAAGAAACAATTTCAGAAAACTTCAAGGAACAGCAGAGAAGTCAAGAGGGATGAAGGCAAATAAGGTGAGACATGTCATGGTGTGGAGGAAATAGGCAATTTTTTCCCTTCCTCTCGCTGAATAATACTTGAAGTTTGGATCATCCAGTGCTGCTGAATGTTAGAAGATTAAGGACAAATTAAATACCATAAGCTTACCCAGTGCAGGTCAGTGAAATGGACATCTTCAGTAAGAAGTCTATCAGAGAGAAACATGACTGCAGTGCCTCTTCACTTCACTTTCATCATTCATTACTAGTTCCTTTCACAATTTTATTTTTTATCTATGCTTCTTTGATTACATGCATAACAAGGTCTGAACCAAGATTGAAATAGGTCAAGGTAATAGATTGACCTCAGGTGGTCCCATTCATGTGATCTCCCAACTGTTGCCCTGCTTGACGTATTAAAGCTTGTCAAGGGGGTATGAGTGGGTGGAATCAAGAGTTGTCAATGCATCCTCAAGAAAAAGGACAGGCCTGGCTGTCTTGAAATATGTGGTGGCTTTATCCCTCCTGAAATTTTCCAACATGAGCTTATTGGTTTATGATTACTACTACTAAGTGATAGCTAGTACTGGTTGTTTGGGAAGTGTAAATGATGGAGAGGATTATGGCAGAACATTTGCGAACATAGATTCTATGACCTAGGAGCATTTGTAATTCTCCTGCCACCAACCAGGGTGGAGTCCATCTTTACAACATCATATTTTATGTGAAGCCAATAATCTTCATAGAAGCTACGAATCAGACACTACCACCTTCACTTTTTGTAGTTAGATGTGCCTTTGTGTTCAGATCAGGCCTGAGGATGATAATGTAGCACTTGGGAAGGAAGATGCAGCCCAGAAGCCCAGCACTGGAGGCCAATATAGTGAAGACCTGCACAGCTACCATGAACTTCCCTTTGGTGCTCAGGTAGGTGGGAACAAAAGACACCCAAACACTGCAGAAGACCAGCATGCTGAAGGTGATCAGCTTGGCTTCATTGAAGGACCCGGGAAGCTTTCTGGCTAGGAAAGCCACCGTGAAACAGATGGCAGCCAGGAAGCCCATGTAGCCAAGGACAGTGTAAAACATGGCAACAGATCCCTCATTGCATAGAAGGATGATCTCTCTAGCTTGGGAGTGCATGTCGGAGTCTGGGAAGGGTGGGGAGATTCCCAGCCAGATGGTGCAGATGACAACCTGAATACTGGAACAGGAAAGGACAATGGAGTTGGCCAGATTCTTCCCCAGCCATTTCCTGACCCTGTTCCCTGGCTTTGTGGCCAAGAAGGCCAGCACCACAGTGATGGTTTTTGCCAACACAGAAGAGACAGCAACTGAGAAGATGATGCTGAAGGCTGTTTGTCGGAGGAGGCAGGTCACTTTCCTTGGCCGGCCGATGAATAGGAAGGAGGACAAAAAGGAAAGCAGGAGGGAGCTGAGGAGTATATAGGATAAATCCCGATTGTTAGCTTTGACTATGGGAGTTTCCATGTATTTAATGAAGATTCCTTTCACAATGCCAGTGGTCAAGGACAAGAAGATGGCAAAGGAAACCAGCACAATCCCCAAGGGTTCTTCATAAGTGAGAAATGTTATAGTCTTGGGGACACATTTGTCTCGCGCTTGATTTGCATGCTGATCTTCTGGGCATCTGGTGCAAATCTTTGCATCTGAAGAGAAGGAGAATGACTTCAGAATGACTAACAAAACTCTTACATCCATACCTGTCTGTTTTCTGACAGAGGTTGCCATGGTGATGGGTGTGCGTTTGAGGTGTCAGGAAAATACAGTCTTTAGCAAGGTGTGCTGGGAAGAAAAAGGTAGAGAACAAGGAGGCACCCATTTTGGCTAGGCTGGCTGAAGATTGGTTGGGAGAGATTTATTCCACTCAAGTAAACTGTACTGCTATGGGTAAAAAGTCGCTCTTGATCATGTGCTAAGATCTGGACTTCCTCCATGCAGACTGAAGGTGTAAATATGTGAATAAATCATATTTCTTAAAGCTACAGCAGTCTCCCCTGAGTCTTCAGTTCTCCAAAGGTTGGGAGAGATTTCTTCCACTCAAGTAGTAGTAGTAGTAGTAGTAGTAGTAGTAGTAGTAGTAATAATAATAATAATAATAATAATAATAATAATAATAATAATAATTTATTATTTATACCCTGCCCATCTGGCTGGGTTTCCCCAGCCACTCTGGGCGGCTTCCATAGAAACCAAAAATACACTAAAATATCACAGATTAAACACTTGCCTGAACAGGGCTGCCTTAAGATGTCTTCTGAATGTCAGGTAGTTATTTATCACTTTGACATCTGATGGGAGGGCGTTCCACAGGGCGGGCGCTACTACCGAGAAGGCCCTCTGCCTGGTTCCCTGTAGCTTTGCTTCTTGCAATGAGGGAACCGCCAGAAGGCCCTCGGTGCTGGACCTCAGTGTCCGGGCAGAACGATGGGGGTGGAGACGCTCCTTTAGGTATACAGGACCGAGGCCATTTAGGGCTTTAAAGGTCAACACCAGCACTTTGAATTGTGCTCGGAAACGTACTGGGAGCCAATGTAGGTCTTTCAAGACCGGTGTTATGTGGTCTCGGCGGCCGCCCCCAGTCACCAGTCTAGCTGCCGCATTCTGAATTAGTTGTAGTTTCCGAGTCACCTTCAAAGGTAGCCCCACGTAGAGCGCATTGCAGTAGTCCAAGCGGGAGATAACTAGAGCATGCACCACTCTGGCGAGACAGTCCGCGGGCAGGTAGGGTCTCAGCCTGCGTACCAGGTGGAGTTGGTAGACAGCTGCCCTGGATACAGAATTGAACTGCGCCTCCATGGACAGCTGTGAGTCCAAAATGACTCCCAGGCTGCGCACCTGGTCCTTCAGGGGCACAGTTAGCCTATTCAGGACCAGGGAGTCCTCCACACCAGCCCGCCCCTGTCCCCCAAAAACAGTATTCTGTCTTGTCAGGATTCAACTTCAATCCATTAGCTGCCATCCATCCTCCAACCGCATATTGATGGACACCCAGTCCAAACCTCCTGATGATCTCTTCCAGCGGCTTCATATAGATGTTAAAAAGCATGGGGGAGAGGACGCAACCCTGAGGCACCCCACAAGTGAGGGCCCAAGGGTCTGAACACTCATCCCCCCCACCGCTTTCTGAACACGGCCCAGGAGGAAGGAGCGGAACCACTGTATAACAGTGCCCCCAGCTCCCAACCCCTCTAGACGGTCCAGAAGGATGTTATGGTCGATTGTATCAAAGGCCGCTGAGAGATCCAGCAGAACTAGTAAACAACTCTCACCTTTGTCCCTAGCTCGCCGGAGATCATCAACCAGCGCGACCAAGGCAGTTTCAGTCCCATGATGAGGCCTGAATCCCGATTGGAAGGGATCCAAATGGTCCGCATCATCCAGGCGTGCCTGGAGTTGTTCAGCAACCACGCGCTCAATCACCTTGCCCAAGAATGGAAGATTTGAGACTGGGCGATAGTTGGCCATACTGGCCGGGTCTAAAGATGTTTTTTTAAGAAGCGGTTTAATGACCCCCTCTTTCAGCGAATCTGGGAATGTTCCCTCACAGAGGGAAGCATTCACCACCCCGCAGAGCCCATCGCCCAGCCCTTCCCGGCTTGCTTTTATTAGCCAGGATGGGCAAGGATCAAGGAGACATGTGGTTGGTTTCACGCGTCCAAGCAGCCTGTCCACATCCTCGGGGGTAATGGATTGAAATTGATTCCATGCGACTTGACCAGACAGAGCTCTAGCACTCTCCCGCCCCAGCCCTGCTCCCACGGTGGTGTCTAGGTCCTTCCGAATATGAGTGATTTTATCTGCAAAAAACTTTGCAAAATCGTTGCAGGAGATCTTGGGGTCTTTACAAGGCCCGGTGGTAAAGGTGGTTCCGTTAAATTGCGAACCACCTGAAAGAGTCTCCTGCTACTATTTTCTGCAGATGCAATAGAGACGGCGAAGAAGACTTTCTTCTACTTTTCTTTCTACCAAGTCGCTATCGCCACTTGGTAGGCTCGACGTTGAGCTCTAACCTGTGTCCGGTCAGATTTGGAGTGAGTTTTCTGCCACCAACGCTCTAGCTGTCTCAGCGATTGTTTCATCGCCCTCAGCTCCGAAGAAAACCACGGGGCTGTCCAGGCTCCATGCAAGAGGGCGCTTTGGAGCCAGACAGTTGATAGCCCTGGTTAACTCCGCATTCCAGCGGGCCACCAGGGAATCAGCTGAAAGGCCATCAACATGGGCTAAAGCATCCCCTACCACTCTCTGGAAACCATTTGGATCCATTAAGTGGCGGGGGCGGACCATCCGAATTGGTCCCACCTCCCTGCAGAGGGGAAGGGTCGCGGAGAAGTCCAGTTGCACCAGGAAGTGATCTGACCATGGCACTTCTTTGGTTTCGCTTTTACTTAGTGTCAGATCACCCACGTCACTAGAGGTGAACACCAGGTCTAAGGCATGTCCATGACTATGAGTTGGGCCAAACTTATTCAGGGACAGCCCCATGGAGGCCATGCTTTCCATGAAGTCCCGAGCAGCTCCTTGTAAGGTCGTGTCGGCATGGATGTTAAAATCCCCCAGGACAACCAAACTAGGTGTCTCCAGGAGAAAATCCGCCACGACCTGAAGCAGCTCGGACAGGGAATCCTTGGTGCAGCGGGGAGGTCGGTACACCAAAAGGAATCCTGTACTGCCCCTATTGCCCAACTTCCAGAACATGCACTCAGAAAACTGGATCTTCCCAGTAGGACGCCTGGTGCAAGCTAGTGACTTCCTAAAAATCACTGCAACCCCCCCTCCCCGCCCACATGACCTGGGTTGCTGTGAGTAAGAGAAACCTGGTGGGCAAGCAGTGGCAAGGACAGGCCCATCTGCTTCCTCCAACCAGGTCTCTGTCACACATGCCTGGTCAAATCCTCCATCCACAATCAGGTCGTGGATGGCAGTGGTTTTATTCATCATTGACCTGGCATTACACAGCAACACCTTCAGGTCATGTGGGTTTCCCCTGTTGATTCCAGTATCCATCTGGTCAAGGCCAGACCCGGAGGCAGGGATAGTCTTCAAACAACGAGTAAACCTGCCTCCTCGGTAATGACATGGTCTGGTCTTAGCGTAACTCCACCTCCTGCCCATGATCACCGAGATCGGATGTCCCACTGGAACAGGGAAGCAATGGCAGAACACTTCCCACACTTCCTCAAAGGTTTGTTCCAAATAAGGGCCTGGGCCAGTTGGAAAAAGCCTTGGAAGGGAGCAGGCCCTGCAGTCCTCACTCAGCCGATGTGCGGCACTGCTATAGTAAACAAGTCGCTCTTGATCATGTGCTAAGATCTGGACTTCCTCCATGCAGACCGAAGGTGTAAATATGTGAATAAATCATATTTCTTAAAGACACAGCAGTCTCCCCTGGGTCTTCAGTTCTCCAAAGGAGCACGAACCCTGTGTGACCCCTGGAATACCAAGAAATCTTGCCTCTCCCTTTCTTCTGGAGTCACCCACCTTCCTGAACGGAGATGGTCCCTTCCGCACAAGGAGCACAATCGTAGCAGCAAACGGCCTCCCCTTCTTTAGCCACTCTGGCATATCCAGGGCGACAGCTTTCAGTGCATCTTGAATGAGGCACAACCTAAAAACTAAGAAAAGGAGCATCCCAGGAGACCAGCATAAATTACAGACATCATCTGAAGGCTCTGACTAAAAACATGCTCAAATAAAAATCATTTTTAGAATACTGAGACCAGGTTAGAAAGCTTTAAAATGGGAGTGAGACTCTTCCAAATTTGGTAGAACTGTGGAGAACTCATTTTCTTTCTGACATAAAGTTTCATTTTTAATTGTTGAACGCAAATATTGTTGAACACAAAGGATTAAACAAACTATGGCCTTTTAAACTGCATTTGAGATTTATTGAAGCTCCATAGAGAAAAGGTGGGATATAAGTGCAACAAATAAACAGATAAATGAATGAATGCAATGACCTTGCTGAATTTCCCAGGCCACATAATGGCTTCTGGTTTAATGGAGAATTTTATGCCGGAGGATGCCTGTCCCTCGATGCTCCCAACTTTCTTTCTGCTCTGAGATCTATTGGGAAATACGACCCAGTTCACGATATCAAAGTTGGCAGTCAGCTCCCCATTCTGATCAGAATACATCCCTCCTATGGATGAATTGGAAAGCCAAATTTCTTTCAAGAAAGTGTGAAGCTAGAATGGCAGAGAAAACACCAGCTTTAGAAAACATGATATCCGGATTTTGTGAGAAAACAGAAGGCTTGTGTGCAAACTCCATAAGAGATGAGAGTAAATTATGTTTAAACAAAATAATTGCAGGATATTTCTGGGTATATGATTGAGCAAAGCTTTTCATGACTTTGGATATTTTCTGTGTTTTAAATAAGGGTTTTCTTTAGTGAAATTTTTTTCATTTTAACTTTTTGTAAAGTGCTTTGAGGTTTTTTTCCAGGAGTCGAGCAATACTGTATATAAATGTTATGAACTAAATATAGTAATTAATCAACTAATTAATTAATTAATTAAACTCTATGTAAGAGAATGCTCCTTAACAATTTTTCATAGCTTATTTTGTGCTTTGAAAGATTCCCCCCTACCTTTTCAAAGTATATTAGAACCACAAAAATAGATGAACAATTAAAAAAACTTATTAACATGTCCTGCTAAAGACAGGGCATAGGAAACCTAAACATATTTAACAATAACAATGAGGTAAACTACAAAGAATATAAAATCTGAAACGGATTCCAGAAGGTATTTACAAAAAAGGGGAGAGGACAGACCTGCCATGGCTGCAGTCTTTGAAGTTCCAATCTGTCTCCTCCACTCGCCATTAACATCCATTTGGATCTGGATGAATATGCGACATTCAAGGCCTGGGCCACAAACTGGACGCCGTAGTAAGTGCTGTAGCGGTCTTGAGACCAGATTGCCCCCATCTCCTTCTGGGACAAAAGTTTCCAGTGGTTCCTTTTCTGTGCATCTTGTCCAACCCTCCACGGATAGTACTTTGTTTGAACATGAACAATGGAATGCTTTCTTCCAAAACTGTGAAAATACAGATGCTGTAGCTTCAAATGAAAGTCGAGTATAGTAGCCATGTTCTGTCCGTTTTTTGGTATTCATTACAAAGGACAAAGAACCTTGGGCAGGCTCGAAGTAATCTGTGCCAGCAAACAACATCTCATCAATGTCCAGAAGATCTGTTGTGATCCAGACTATCCCCTGAGATTTCCTGACTTCATGAATTCTTTGTAACATCACAATTGGATAAATTCTGTGCTCAGAGTCCCCATAATAAACAAACACCTTGACTTGTCCCAAATCAGATGGTTTACAATGTAAGGATGACATTTGTCCCAGGGTCGAAATATGAAATTTTTCCAAGAAAGCAACACAAATCCCACTGCGGATCATCAGAAGGGTGAAGACACTCAGGAACCTTTCTCCATTGTCATTGTCTGGAACAAAGAGACCGATCCACGTCCACCCGAAATGCAACAACAACTTGATAATCCCCAAGTGCTGGGTTTCTTCTTTGGGACCATCCGGTAGACAAAAGGGAACTGGGTTTTGTCATCCAGATCCTGAGCAGCAGAGCCAAAACTGATCTAGTAAGAAAAGGATTGGTGTCAGGGTTTCAGGAATACACAAGAAAGGCCTCATTGCATGATCAGGCCAAAGGCCCATCTTCTCACAGTAGCTAACCAGAGGCTTATGGGATACATGCCATGTCTCTGATGGTGGAATCGTGTTCAGTGGAGGACATGGAGCTTACAGAGAAGGAAGTGGCTCCAATGGACACTGAGACAGACCAGGGCATCTGGGCCTTATAGGGTCATGGCACCCCAACTTCTTCCTAGAGTCACAATGGGGCACTACACAGAATGAGAGGCAGAAGCTAAGCAGCTGCACAGTTTTGAGGAGTGCAAGTACTTAAACTTCTGTGTTCAGTTAGCTGTCAGACATCCACTGGTCTTCCTGAGAAACAAGAACCCTTTAGGGGCCAGGGGTACTTTCAACCACATCTTCCTATTGACAAACCAGGGAGGGAGATAGGAAGTGGCTGAGGGTTTTCTAACTCGCTTTCCACTTTATTGCAATGTGATTTCCACCCCCCTTTGGTCTCTCTTTTTGCGTGCTACTCTTTTGTGTTCCCTGGAAAATTTGGCCCTTATGACATTGCTGAAGTACAACTTCCATCAGTCTGTACAAGCATGGCTAATGGCCAGATGGTTGGCTTTGCAGTTTAGAAACTTCTTGGGGCATGAAGGGGTTCCTCACCACTGCTAGAGAGACAGCAGAGAGGAATTAAACACAATAGATCTCTTCCCTTCCAATTCCTACCTGGGGCATTTTGTAGATGCCTAACATGCTTGAAATCTGGCTGGGGATTTCAGAAGAAGTTGCTTCAAAAACAGCCAACACGTTATTCTGTCTTCCACAGCTGTAGTTTGGAATACTGTCTAGCATGGCATCGGCAGTTGTCCTGACATCAAAAGCGGCCTCATAGATGCTATAGCCCAGGGTGACATTGGCTATATGCTTAAGATGCTGGGTGATCTCCTGGGTTGCAAACAAGATGGAGAGGACTGGTGAGGTGTCCTTTGCTGACCAACTGCAAATAAATGAATACACAAAAATCATTTTAGCCTTCCATTCTCCATTAAATGAAAACAACTGCTTGCTCTATACAAGTTATATCTAACGGGAAACTCTGCAGCTAGGAAGGAGCAGAATCTTGCCCAGATCCACCAACAAAGAAAGGAGTAGCATTTAGGAGAGCTTGAGCTGGGGTGAATTAGATTGCAATTTAGAGTTCCTTAAGTTGGCAAGACCTATTTACAGGATGAGAAGATATGAAAGAGAAATGCCCTATCTTGGGTTACTCACCTTAACTTCTGAGTCTCGTGGAACACCTAGTAAGGTTCCTATACTGATTTGAGCGTTCCCGCGAGTCTGAAGGGAAGGTGGTGGTATCCTTACATTCTGATTTTTACACATTCTTTGATCCACAAATGCAAGATTGCACCGTGGATTTAGAACTTATTTAAGATACGTTGTAATCCACATACACCCAACACACCGGGGACATTTAATTTAGAGAGTTTGTTGGGAATAAAGGAATAGAGGAAGCTGTCAAAGCTGTTAATACTTGACTAGGAAGAAGCACCCTTTTTCATGAAACATGAGATGATCAACTATGCTTTAGCTGCATTAATGAAACTGAAGCCCAAAATAGGGAAAGGGTTCTGAAACAACCTCTTTGTTTGCAGGATACCAAGGGGCATGGCCAGAAACTAGATGCTGCCTCTGGAAAACAGCAATAAATGTGAATGCAGACTGGGTAACATAAAGTCACTTACGTCATAACAGTGTTTTTGGGATGAAGTGAAAAGTTGATTGGGTAAGTTATAAAAGCTCTTGGAAATATGACCTGACTAATGAGGTGGTCTCCTGGCCTGTAATAATTCAACGGATCACTTGCCTCATTTAGGTTCAATGGGCATTTTGCTTTCAGCATCCCACAGGCTCCATGGGGCATTAGCAGCACAAACAGCAGCAGCAGCAGAAATATCATCCTGGCTATGCCTGCAAGAGTCATACACTCATGTGACAGCTGAACTCCTACAGTAGCTTCAGAAGCAAAGGTAGAAAAAGGAAACCTCCCATAGAAACAAGAGGCTTCTGATATTTATGACCCAGTTCTTCTTTCTGGCTTGTGACAATCAGTTATCTGATGCTGCCTGTGATTCTGATGTTTTGTTATTTGTGGACTCCAAGGCCATAGTTGGGGAAATCCCTGGACTAGATAAACAAATCACAATGATTTTGATAATTATAGGGTTAAGAAGGTCCACCTCCTCTGCAACTCCCTGGAATCAGTGAGTGACTCAATGGGCAGCTGCAGAGCCAGAGCAAAACATGTTTGTAAGAACTCAAATCTGGGACTCTCAATCTGGGCCCTGCTAAACCTGAGGAAACATTAACTTTAGTAAAGTCCAAGAAACTATAGAATAGCTAGTGTTATGATTAGTTGGGTCCAGGATCTGGGTCACACTATTGATTCTGAAAGCTGGGAAAAACTGTGGACTAAATCAAATTTGCAGCATGTGTGTCACTCAAAGAAAATGTATTTAAGATGATGTACCGATGGTATATCACACCTGCCAAACTTGCTAAAATGTATAGAAATCAAGACAAAAAATGTTGGAAGTGTAAGGAGAAGAATTTCCTCCACATGTGGTGGACTTGCTCCAAAGTGGAAGCCTTCTGGGATATAATATATAATGAGTTAAAAAAGGTTTTGAAATATAAGTTCAATAAAAAAACAGAGGCATTTTTATTAGGTTTAATTGGTGAAGAAATACATAAAAGAGAGGTAAACATGTTTATTTATGCCACAACGGCTGCAAGAACACTTCTGGCTCAGAAATGGAAGCAGCAGGAACTCCCAACACTGGAAGATTGGCAGGTCAAGGTGGTGGAATATGTAGAGATGGCCACGTTGACGGGGAAGATTCGGAATCAGTGTGATGAACTGTTTCAAATGGACTGGAACAAATTTATATTTTATATGAAAGAAAATTGTAAACTTTTGAAAACATTTGTAGGCCTGAATTGAAATGTTTTGTAATGTAAATATAAGGGACTGATTTACCGACAATAAGGTGAAATATTATAATTTGACAAAGGGTAAATGATTATAGAAATGTGAAAAATATGGAAAGATATGTGGAAGTCAGAAAGAGGGAGGGAAGGATGTTGATGCTCTTACAGAGTAATATATTAAGTTATAGAAGTATGTAAAAAATGTGAATATGATTTAAGTGGAAAATCTAATAAAATTATTTAAAAGAAAGAAAGAAAGAAAGAAAGAAAGAAAGAAAGAAAGAAAGAAACTAGAGAATATCTAAACAAAACGTGTTTGTGAGAACTCAAAGATGTGACTCTCAATCCGGGCCCTGCTAAACTTGAGGAAACATTAACTTCAGTAAAGTCCAGGAAACTATAGAATAGCTATGATGGACCAAGACCAGGAAGACAGGACATGATAAAGGTGTATAAAGTCCTGCATGGTGTGGATAATATGGATAGGAAAAGTTTTCCTCCTTCCCAGTAGTAATACTAGAAGTTTGGACTTTAAGTGGGAATATAAACCCTTGTGTCCTAGGCCCCTGTCCAACTCCCTGATCACTACACCACACTGTCTCAGAACTATAGATTCATTGGCATCCAATGGAGGTCTCTAACACAGAGATAAGCCATGAGATACTCACATGAGCTAATAAAAGTTCGGATTCATGAGACAACTAAAAGCATATTTTTATAATCAAAACAGCAACAACTATTTTAATATTTATACCGTACCCACAACAAGAGCTGTTTGAAGAATTGCTGTGTCGTCTGATATGTTCACCCACAACTTAACACATATACCCAGAACAAATTTAGTTGGTCTGTAAGGTGCTACTGGACATTTTTTTAAAATTATTTTTATTTATTTCATCTGTTTCAGACCAACATGGCTACCTACCTGAATGTAGTAGTCCAAGTGGGAGATAACTAGAGCATGCACTACTCTGGCGAGATAGTCTGTGGGTATGTAGGGTCTCAGATGGCCTACCATATGCAGCTCAATCCATTGGCCACCATACAGCCTTCAACCATCTACAGATACTCACAGGACCTAGTTACTCACACAGGACCTGGTGACCTAGTTGCAGGAGTTTATTGGCCAGTGACGTTTATTGGCCAGAAACATATTTAGGTGACTTCCCGTGTCTGGACTTCTGGGTGCAATGATCTTAATTAGGGCTTTAAAGGTCAGCACCAACACTTTGAATTGTGCTCGGAAACATACTGGGAGCCAGTGAAGTTCCTTTAGAATCACTGTTATATGGACCTGGTGGAGATAACCAAAGCATGCACCACTCTGGTGAAACAGTTTGTGGGCAGGTAGGGTCACAGCTGGCATACAATATGGAGCTGGTAGACAGAGTTAATCTGTGCTTCCATGGACACCTGTGAGTCCAAAATGACTCACCTGCGCACCTGGTCCTTCAGGGGCACAGTTGCCCCATTCAAGACCATTCAAGACCAGGGGGTCCCCCATGCCCGCCCCCATCTCCCAAAAACAGTACCTCTATCTTGTCAGGATTCAACTTCAGTCTGTTAGCCACCATCCACCCTCCAGCCACCTCCAGATACTCACACATTAACCTTAACTGGTTCCTCAAACTGATGAACACTCAGCCCAAACCACCTGATGATCTCCATATTCTTCTTCATGCTCAGCTATACATTAAGCTTGCTGGAGAGCCAGGCTGCTGGTGACCTAGTTGCAGGAGTGACGTTGGCCAGTGATGTTACCATGGATGAATGCAGATGTATCATTGTGACATCAGTGTATGATGTCACAGACAGAATGAGCTTCAAACACCAGTAAAGTGAGAGACGGTTAACAGTCAGACCTAGGCTTAATGCTGTGGGTATTCATGGCAGATGATGAGAAGGTAAAACATGGGGGCTATGGTATCTTTTACCAAAGTTTACAGCCGGATCAAGCACTTAAAAGATCTTGGTGCCCCCATGTGTATCTAATTCAGGAAATAAACACTAATAAACTGTAAAATAAAGATTGATTTTTCAAAATGAAGCAGAACCTACAGTAAGGTGGAAAATAACATTTATAGATCAGGGTAAATCCAGCAATGAAAAATTTCTGAGGTGCCCCCCTTCCCTGGAGGCCCTGAGCACGTGCTTATTTTGCTTAATGCTTAATTCAGCCCTATTCTGGATTAGGGCTACTTGAGTTTGGGGCAGATTCTTGAAGAAGTGGAACCTTCTGAAGTGACTCTCATTAATTGCAAATGAGGTTTTCAGCTGTTGAGGCTCTATTGCTCTTTTAACCACAATTAAACATTTAAAGACAATATGGATTTACACAAGTGCAGGTCAGTGAAATGGACATCTTCAGTAACAAGTCCATTAGATTATAAAACAGATAGGACTGTAGGGCCCCTCCATCCTTATTATACATTCACTTTCATCATTCATTACCACTTCCTTTCACAATTTTTGTTTTTATTCATGCTTCTTTGATTCCATGCATAACAAGGTCTGAACCCAGATTGAAATGGGTCAAGTTAAGTGTTTGACTTCAGGTGGTCCCATCCATGTGGTCTCCCAACCGCTGCCCTGCATGACTTATTAAAGCTTGCAATGGGGGCATGAATTGGTGGATTCAGGAGTTGTCAATGCATCCTCATGGAAGAGGGTAGTCCTAGTTGTCTTGAAAAATTGGTGGCTTGATCACTCCTGAATATTTCCAACATGAGCATATTGACTTATGACGACTACTGCTAACAGGTCGCTAATACTGGTTGTTTTGGAAGTGTAAATGGTAGAGAGGTTTCTGGCAAGACATTTCTGAACATTGATTTTATGAATTTAGAGCTTCTGCAATTTTCCTGCCATAAACCAGGTGTCAGGGACTGGGCAGAGGAGGAATGGTGGAGACCGCCTCCCCATCTTGACTCTTCCAGAGAAGAGGAAGACAGTATAGATTTATAACAGTGGTTTGTGGGAGGTCACAGCTCAGAGGCAAGTGAGGGGAATAGTTGGGAAATAATGGGAGAGGAGAAGGAGGCGGCAGAAGTGGAGCGGCAGCTGGTTGATACAATGTCATTAGAAAGCATCCAGGACCCTCCATCTCCTAGAACCCGGCAAGTCTTGAAAGTAGGAGAGCAAAGAGCTCAAAGACAGCGGGCACGTAGCAACACCCGGAGAAGTGACGAATGAGGATGTGGGAGAGACAAGGGTGGAAAGTCACGTGGGACAACGCCATTATCTAAGAGGCTGAGTTCTCTCTCTGTAAAAATTGAAATAAAAAAGGACGGTAAGTAACCTTTCCTTTTCTTTTTGCTTTCCTGGGCAACCAGCCAGAAGCTGCTGACAGCATCCTGACAAATTGTCCCGAGTCAACTTTAATTGGCGGTTAGGTCATAAATCATGACAGATGGCGTAGGAGGAGCCACGGGGCAGGCAGCCAACACTTATAACTGAGAAGAACCATTTCAATGGCTTTTACAACAAAATTTATTGTTAAGATCACACATAGAACAATTAAGCAGAACAATAAATCAACAAAAATGAGAATTCGCAAAGATTTCCTGGGGTATCACCTCACAAGTGAGGGGGTGCATATGGATCCAGCTAAGGTGCAGAGCGTAGTTTCGCAGCAGGAGCCCAAGACAAAGAAAGACCTGCAGAGGTTTGTAGCATTGGCCAAATATTACCACAAGTTCATGTCAGCCTATTCGAGATTCACTACACCCCTCACGGATTGCTTGTAGGGCAAGAAGCCGTTCCAGTTGACAGCTGAGGCACAACAGGCATTTGAGCATCTCAAAACCTTGTTCTCCTCAGAGGTGTACCCAGCTCATGCAGACCCCCACAGGGTGTTGGTCAAATAAAGAGACGCCTTTGACAGAGTGGTTGGTGCTGTGCTTTGAAAGGAAGACCAAGATGACCACAGTCTTTATGCTTTCTTGGGCAACCAGCTGGAAGCTGCTGACAGCATCCTGACAGCAATGTTTGGTCCACGTTCAAAGAAGCTAAGAATTAGAAACTACCACCTTCACTTTTTGTAGTTAGCTGTGCCTTTGTGTTTAGATCAGGCCTGAGGATGATAATGTAGCACTTGGGAAGGAAGATGCAGCCCAGAAGCCCAGCACTGGAGGCCAACATAGAGAAGACCTGCACAGCTACCATGAACTTCCCTTTGGTGCTCAGGTAGGTGGGAACAAAAGACACCCAAACACTGCAGAAGACCAGCATGCTGAAGGTGATCAGCTTGGCTTCATTGAAGGACCCTGGAAGCTTTCTGGCTAGAAAAGCCACAGTGAAGCAGATGGCAGCCAGGAAGCCCATGTAGCCAAGGACAGTGCAGAACATGGCAACAGATCCCTCATTGCATAGAAGGATGATCTCTCTAGCTTGGGAGTGCATGTCGGAGTCTGGGAAGGGTGGGGAGAATCCAAGCCAGATGGTGCAGATGACAACCTGCATACCGGAACAGGAAAGGACAATGGAGTTGGCCAGACTCTTCCCCAGCCATCTCCTCACCTTGTTCCCTGGCTTTGTGGCCAGGAAGGCCAGCACCACCGTGATGGTTTTTGCCAAAACAGAAGAGACAGCAACTGAGAAGATGATGCTGAAGACTGTTTGTCTGAGAAGGCAGGTCACTTTCCTTGGCCGGCCGATGAACAGGAAGGAGGAAAAAAAGGAAAGCAGGAGGGAGCTGAGGAGTATATAGGATAAATCCCGATTGTTAGCTTTGACTATGGGAGTTTCCATGTATTTAATGAA